TAAATATATACAACATTAGCCTTTTCGCTTTTTTTTTTTGGTTCGGCTTCTGTACTTTAAAATTATAAACGTTATATTTTAATAGGATTTGAAAAATTTCTAAATCATTTCAGATATTTACTCTTAGCTTTTACATTGTTCTTGATTTTCTTAATAATTGTTTTATTCTTTTGCAGATAATTTCCCCAATGTTTTATGCGAGGTGGCATTAACTCACTTCAAATTCTGCCCGTGGTTGCATTTATAGTAAAGGCCTGCTATCTTGACTAAGGCCTTATTGCTGGTATACTACAATGGCAGATAAAAAATAGTATATCCTAGCGAGAACTTGAGTAACCCACTCCTCCCATAACTACATTATCTACGCATGCATTAGCAACATAAGGCTGTTACGCTCATTTTTACCCTTGATAGGAATCACACATCATTGTTTCCTCGATATTATTGGTAACCAAATGAACATTATTAAAATGCTGATCATCACAAGGCAGAAATGAAAGGGTGGGGGCACATTCTTAACTTCCTCTTAGCTACTTCTGCTCGAAATACGAAAAGCATTCACAAAGCGTCGTTTGCATTTTCCATCGACCGGAACGAATAGGACGGAAGCTAGCAACAAAAAAAAAAAGCAAATAAAATATCCATTTAAAAAGGCGAGAAAAACCAGGAGAACCTAAATATCTCCTAAAACCTTGGTTTATTTATTTTTGTATTTCTAACATTCAAGGTGCGTGCTGGAAGTCGACAGCTACTTTTTAATGGAATCGATTGATCTATTTTTCCTCGTCAGTTGTATACAAATATTGGTCGGCAAAGGAGCGTCAATGAAAACTTGAAACTTTACCTTTTGTCAACTCGTTGCTTCTAGAATGATTTTAGAAGTTTATTATCAATGAATAATTTGATGAAATAAATGAGAAAAGACAATAATTGTGATATTGTTTATCGTTATTTGCTAAACTTTTATATGTTACCCGTTAAAATCGAAATCCCAACTGTAGTAATTACCTATGGGAGTAATCGCTTAACAACTGCTTCAGAGTGAGATAGACATGTTTGCAATGTTGTTTCCACAGATATATCAACTGAAACAGTTTGTAATTTATTTTCACACTGTTTATGTAACAGATACTATTATGAACGGAGGTTATTACGCAGATGATGTTAAAATTCTTGCTCCTTTTAACGGTACATTTAGACAGAAGAGGGGAAATACGGTTGTATTTTTGTACTGATTGCATTTGAATTACATTGGCAATTCATATTCTTTCCGACTGAACTCATTGCTATCCACTTCACGGATTTAAACATTTTCTAAATTAACAAATAGTTCTAGCGATAACGCTTAAACTTGTTAGAATGTAATTTTATCCGTTAAATTATTGTAATTTTCGACATTCAATTTGTATGTCGTGCACCGAGGAACATGAATAGTAGATTATTCAGAAAGGAATTGAAACATTTGCTGACACAGTGTATAATATTTGTTAAGTAGTGTCAAATTCGGCTCAACCCCAGACTGATAGAGCAACTACAAATTCCATTTTTTCGCTTTATATACATTTACATATTGGATTAAATATGACAGAGAATAATGGCATTTTTCATCATATCACTTTATAAAAAGACAAACAAAACACGAAAAAATATTTTACTGACTTTGAAAGCAATAGCTTCTCCAAACACAAAAATGAAATAATTTCATAGTGCATGACAACAAAAATATTCATTTTTTAATGTCAATCGAGACTTTGAATTTTTTTTATTGATATTCAAGCTTAAGCATGAAACTTCAGTCTTTATCTGGGCTCGTATCTGGGCTCGTATCTGGGCTCGTATCTGGGCTTTGTTCACTGACTCATACCTGAAAGCCCTTTTCCATTTTTCGAATATTTCCACGGACGAAATTGATGCATATTTGCTATTCGCTTGGCCATTATAAATGAAAAGGTAACGCAGTGCACAGACTCACTTTGACATTTCACTACTGAATGAGTAACCCCATAAGAGAGTGTTTACATTAAGATCTTCTCTGATAGTTTGTCAAGTTACATCAATTTTACAGAACTTGTTCTAAACCAGATTGCGAATATCAATAACATAGAGCCTAATTTTAAATAGGAACTTATAAAGGTTTTTGAAAACTGATATAATGGCTCCGTTGGTATAGATCTTTGATCAATTTTAAGAAATATTCCTAGATTTCATTCCATTGAAACAGATTTGATTCCATATGTAACCGAACAATGTCTGATGTATGTTAGATAAACTCTGACCAACACAAGCGTATAAATATTTGGTATCTTCTTAACCGATGATTTATAAACTCTTTATCGGTTAAATAGACACTTGAATGATATAAGATCACACATGGATACGTGAGCCTAAACAAAAAAGAAGCCATTCTATCGAAATTAACTGAATCTTTTCAAGTCTTTCAATCGCAATTTCTTCTTTAACAATTAAATCCTATATTTTAATTTTTTTTATCATTTTTATTTCTTTTCAATCAAGACTCAATTTCTTGCTTGAGTTTCATTTTTAATTATGAACTATTTAAATTTATACAACTACTATTAATACTATTATCCTTATGTTTGTTGTTATCACAACGTTTCGGCCGGTGTACTCTCCGGCCTTCATCAGAGTAACCTACAGGAAATTCTGAACTGAACCATTCATTTAATCTACGGAGGTAGATTGTTACCATTCCATTATGCACATCTATGAATATCCCGTCTGATTCTTATTTTTAGTACCGTGGTGCTCACCCGTTTCAACTGAGTTCAAGTTCACACTACCTTATCCAGGGATTGAACTCACAATTACTATATTCACAAACCAACATTTTATTCACTAGGCCATTGTCATGAAGGACAATTCTCTGTAGTGAGAGAAAAAAAGCCGAAGTGAGCCGTGAGACAACGAAATTGGGCATGGCTGATCATGTATGGAGTGTAAAGAAAAGGTAGTCATCCCCTGTAGAATGAAGTGAAAATACTGGACAAGAAAGAACACTGCTGTTAGACGTCTGAAAGAACCATCGCCTATGATAGTCTATGAGGACCTCCTTAGTAGACGTAGCATAAATATAAATGCAATATAGGAGCCGATATTAAGGAAAGAAAGGCAAGTGACAGTAAGTTTTCAAAAAACACTTAAAACATGACAGGCAACAGCAGTAGAAACACTAATCAGCAGGCAGGTATTATTTAAGGTTCCAAGTTCACTCCAGAGGAACAATAACTTAGTAGATTAAAGTGGTGCTTCGTAAATTTGAAGATATAGTAATTGTGAGTTCAATCCCTGGACCGCGTAATCTGTACTTTGAGTCAGTGGAAACGAGCGAACAATATAAGCTGAGTACTACTAAAAATAAGAACTAGACGATATCCCTAAACATGGGCAGTGGAACGAGAAAGGTTTACCTCGTAGATTAATTAAACGGTTCAGATTAGAATTCCTTGTGGGTTACTAAGATCGATATATCTCTGATGAAGCCTGGAGAGCACAACGTCCGAAACGTTTTGATAGTCCGAATGTAAATAGCATAAATAATAATAACTCCTCATCCCAGAAATTCAAACAGAATCAAAGTATGGCTTTGGGGAAAATTGGAGGAAAGAAATTGTGGCGAACGCGCGTCTGTACAGACGCAAAAGAGACCCCGAGTCGTGTGCGGTAAAAACTAGTTACATTCAAATTTTCTCCGTTAGCAGCAGAACAACTTGGTATGTCCTGATACGAGCCTCTCTGTAACTTGTACAGCAACAGGCTTGACTTTCATCAATGATCCGAAGAGCAATACCGTCTCCCATAAATGTGGAGGTGCTAATCACTCGGCGAGAAATTGTTTGAGTCGGCGAGAAATTGTTTGAGTCGGCGAGAAATTGTTTGAGTCGACGAGCTAAGCAAAGTGGGAGCAGCCGAAGAGACAAAGTCGTGCGTTGCTATCACTGACAAACAGGGCCATATATAGTGGAAATGCCCGGGAAACGGATCGTGGTGAACAGTCATTAGCGCCAGTCTCGTTCTCTGCTCAGATGTAAATGTGCAGTTGCATGGAGTTAAGGTATTGATCAACGGGTAATGGTGTTCATCTCTTTTTTTTTTTTACTCTGGTTGCTTTCGGTCGATCGTTAGTCCAGAACGATGCCAATCGTGAACCGGGAAGCACGTGAATGTGGAAACGATCAGTGACAGAATGCGGGCCGGCTGTGGTGTCGAGACCGTTAACATCAGCACAGTGGCAACTCAGCCGAGGCTGAAGACCTCGTGTGCGTGACAGACCAGTATTATTTTACCTGCTTGCCGGAATCGACGCCATAACAGCGTTGGGCAGCGTCAATATCACGCAGACTGGAGTTGTGCTGGTCTCCACGAAGAAAAACAAGCATGTGCGCCAATACATACTGAGCAACCCGACTTTTTTATGGAATTCAACCACCAGCAAAGGATTTGGACTGAAAAATGGAAGTGGCCAGTAGGTATGGCGCCGGCCCAGTTACAAAACTGTCTGAGTACTCCACATCCATTGATGGCGGAGTAAAAATTCATGTGGTTTTGAGATTAATATTATTTCTTGAAGCTCTTCTTGCATGACACTGTTTGTTTTCAACACAATCTCCAATGGTCACTATTATCCAATATGCAGATTACTTTATTTCTTTTTTATTAACCATAATCATATTAAAGTCCCAACATATGACTTTCCCTCAAGGAGTTAAAACAAACACAATTCATAATTAGCAAAGACAAACACCTGACATTCAATAAAACCACTGTTCATTTTTCTAAAACAACAAATTAGAATATCAAAGTCATTAAAAGATGGGAAAACTATTAAAAATAAAAAAGCAGGAAAAATTATGGCCAAGTGCAAAACGCAAAATCTAAGGTCATTGTCGTTAAGAAGAAAATAAAAAATTTTGAAGAGCATTTCTTAGCTTTTCTTATTTTAGGTTCATTAGATGTCTACATCTTAGAAACAAAAATCTTACCTCCAACTTCACATTAGCATCAGCTCCACTTTTCAGCAACATTTCTGCGCAGACGCTCGCATCTTTAATTTTGGCAGCCAGATGAATCGGCATTTCTTGTAACTGAAAGAAAATAAGAGTTTCTGTCATCAGTCATTTTATTGGTCATATCAAGAGACTTTGGATGGCATCGTTATTAATTTCCTAACAATATAAATTTATGCTTAAATAAAATAATTAATAAAATATTTACAGTTGATTATATTCTGTGACTTGATTTTGTGGGTGAAAGCAAATATCTCAAAAGAAGGGTTCTAGCGTTACATTTCAGGGACACTTGTTTAAAAATTTCAATGCGTTTTCTTCTTATTCATTTTCATATATTTATGCTGTACGACCAAAATGTAATCAGCTAAAATGCGCAAAAAGGTCTTTGTGAGCAGTACGCTTCATTTTTGAGCATGGTTTGTGAGGAGACCGTTTTAGTGAGAGAAACATTCGTTCTTTTTTGATACTTAATTGTTTCCATATACAAATAACATTTCTTATTTTAAAAGTAAAATTGTCTTTCTTAAAATGTAATTACAATATCGAATTGTCTTTTTTAATCAGCTAAAAATTAGCAGTGACAAAAAAAGCATCAAATGGATTGTTGAAAAACCGTGACAAGCGTTTTGAGTGAAATTGTGTAGACAGAACAATTTAGGAAGTGCCGATGGTTGTGCTAGAACAAAATCACAAGTCATCGTGACCGAGGATGTCACTGTATTGGCCTTGTTCAGATAATGCGCTCTCTCACAGAGAATGTATCTACGATCCGTCCAATATAGTTGCAGTATACACCACAGTTGAGATCTGTAGGTGTTGAACAAACACAAATGTGCTTGAGCAGGCGTCTGTAGCTAGCCGCCCTAGTAGATGCGTATCGTAGGATATATATATATATATATATATATATATATATATATATATATATATATATATATTATATATTTCTGCATTTGGTAGCAATCCCTTTTTACACAAGTTTCGTTAAAAACGATTGACAAAGTATTGCGGTTAAGTTTTTTTTTTTTACTTTTCTTGTTGGCTGCCGGATCATGTAATTTAATAATTGTATATTTGGGTAGCAATCCCTCTATTACACAAGTCTCGAAAACAATGACTCGACAGCCAACAAAGAAAGTCAAAAAACTTAACCGCAGTACCGTGTCAGTGTGTGTGTGTGTATGTGTGTGTGTTAAATAATAATACACATTTAACTATTAAATTAAAAAATCTTTCTTATGCAAAAATATCTTTTTCTATACGTGGTTGTTGTGTGTGGATAAACTGTCCAAAATTCCTGTTGTGTAATCAAGTTTTCGACTCACATAAATCATCATCGGCGGTGGTGGGTGGGGGTGAGAGTGAGAAAAGTAAATTATTGCACTTTGCTGTCGCATTAGACTTTCTTTTAAAAGAATAATGATACAATCTATTTCTTAAAATGCACTTATTTTTCTCTTTCACTGACTGACTTAGATAACGAAAGCTTGGATTATTCAACAGAAATGTTGAATTATTTATCCACACCCAACAACTACATTTAAGATAATTGCGTACATGTTTAAAAGAAGAATTCCTGTCCAAGTATGCTGAACACACACACACACACACACACACACACACACACACACACACACACACGCACACGCACACACACACACACACATGTATGACTATTTTGAATCAATTGCTAGGTTTGGATCTTAAGAGGTCTAACAGCGGGTGGTACATTATCTTGCAATTTAAAATGTCGCATGAAAGCGATTCTGAAATCCATTTCAGTTGGTGGACGTCTACGGCTTTATAAGTCAATTGCCACCCTTCGTCGGTGCCCTCTCAATTGACTCCTTAGACAAGCCATCGACAAACAGACTCTACGTACGACAATCTGTACACGCCTGATCGAGCTGCCTTTCAGGAATTTCAACGGGGACGCCTTTAAGCATATCTCTCTTAAGTCTTGCGTACCTCCTCTAAGTGACACCTTCCACTCGAAGCATTATTATTGCGATTAGATGCCTAAAATTGCCAGTGCTCCCAAGGAATGTTGCATTTCTTCGTCGCGTCCTTGATGCAGTCCATAAAGCTCATCTTAGATAATAAAGTTGGTTCCCTGTGTCATGCTAGACAATTTTTCTCGCTACAATCTATCTTACATAGTATTTATAAGTCTACTATTCGTCCATCCTTTGAATATTGTTGCTACATATGGTCCGGTACTCTAGCTGTATATTTTGAGATTCTTAATAAAAGGTAAAGAATATGCAATGTTATTGATACTGATCTGGCATCAGTCACTTTCCCATGACAGCTTACCTGTGTCTTTTCTATAAATACTTTTATGTTAATTGATCTGCTAAACTTTTCTCTATGGTACTTAGACTTCATGAATTTAAGTGCAGTACTAGATTGGCAACAAGACATCATCAATTTACAGCTGAACTGACTGCTATATAAATAGTAGCGTGTTTTAACACCCGAAGTTCATGGTAGTAAATTTCACTGTAGGTGTGATTTTTTTACGTATAAAATAGCAACAAACCAAGACGATTAATGAATTAGTCATTTAAAGGGGCTGGAGGGGGAGTGCAGGGGGTCATTTAGGTCAGTGGTATGGTTAGACGATATTGGAGCGAAGAAACCATTTTTTAAAAATCTTATACTTCTAAAGAAAATTCCAAAATAATTTGTGAATTCAACTAAAATGAATGATGCTTAAATTCTTAATCGGCATTAAGACGATAATCATTCGCCTATGAAAACTGAAATAATTTCTCATGTGAGGTAATCACAATAAAGGGATTATTACAATTGGCCAACTTCATTTATACACAATACACACAGACATGCACACATATATTTCTTATTTTGTGTACTCATGACTAATACACACGCATACGGAAGACTAGATTATTTATATATGTGTGTATGCGTGGGTGGATGTGTTAGTCTTCAGATGTTTATTTTTTGTGGAAATAGTAAACTGATTTATGAGAATTTACCTTGCCTGCTCTTACATCCACTCTTGCTCCAAATCCCAATAACGTTTGGACAACTTGTGGTTTTGAATGTTGCACTGCCAGATGCAAAGCTGTATAACCCTCCTATAAACAAAGATAATTCATCACATTAATGAAACTGGCATAGAATTCACCAATCGTTTAAACATGAGCCATCAGTTGGCATCTGGTGTCAAAAATATCATTTATTTCACATCTTATTACTGATTATTCAGTTATATGAAAATAAAAAAAGAAAATCAGTTACGGAAGAGGAAGTAATAATAATAATAATAATAATAATAATAATAGCCCAGACATTGTTATTAGATACCGCAAACAAAAAAAGTGCCTCCTTATTGATATGGTAGTCCCTACAGACTGCAATGTATCTTTGAAGATCTTCAAAAAGCTATCAAAATACAAGGACCTTGAAATCGAAATCTCAAAAATGTGGTACATAAGAAAATTAACAATCCCTGTTGTAGTTGAAGCCCTCGGATTGGTAGGAAAAGGTTCAAATAGACTTATTGAAGGGATTCCTGGAAGCCCATTCCTTAAAAAAATAAAAAAAACATTGTTCTCACGAGTACAGCCCACACCTTACGAAGGGCTTTATCTATGTAAAATATGTGTGTGTGTTTTTTTGTTTCATTGCTCAGTGGAAAATGTCATGATGCCATTTCTGACCTTAGGTCTCTAGTCGGGACCCGGAAAGAAATGTGTACAAACCAGAAGTCAAAGGAAATAAAATATAATAATAATAATAACAATAATAATAATAATAATAATTCATTCTGCTTTTTCCTGAGACAGACTCAACCAGAAATCTGGTCGATTATTTTATTTTCCCACTAGAAAACTATGATGTTATTCCTCAAAAGCGCAAGGTACCACATAGTTGAGTAAAGTTTAACAAAGTAGTATGATTGGTTATTGCTAGTGAGTTGTGGATACAATCCTCACTGGCTGATACATTCTTGAGGTCTTGTGCCCAAGCTAAGTTTAGTAAATAACTCAGTGGATTAAAGTGGTGGTTCTTGAATTTGTTGATATAGTGATTGTGAGTTCAATACCTGGGTCGGGCAGCTTGTACTTGAACTCAGTGGAAACGAGCTAGCAATAACTGAGAAGTACTAAAAATAAGAACTGAAACGATATTCTTGTACATGGGAAATGGATCGAGAACAGTCTATCCGCCGTAGATTAAATAAAGTGTTCAGTTCAAAATTCCCTTTAGGTTATCCAGATCAATATATATCTGAAGACGGCTGAACGACACCACGGTTGAACTGTTATGATGACAACAACAAAGATGAGGACAATAGTTCGAATAGAAAATATTTTATTTACACAAATTCATAGCATCATTATTCAGTCATTAATGTATTTTTCTGTTTTTCTATGACCTTACGTCAGTGACGTGTAGAGTTTTGGTGATACTCAGGGCCAATTCTTTGATTGTTTGCCCCTAAGGGCCTAGTATTGAGAAATGTGAGAATAGAAGACATTTTAAAATCTTTTATTTACATTATTCGGACTATTTTTCTCATCTTTGTCGCCATATTTATTACAACGTTTCGGTCGTTGTACGCTCCGGCCTTCTTCAGGTGGTTGGAATGTCGAACTGAACCCTTAATTTCACTCACTGGGGTAGACTGTTCTAGTTCCACGCTGGATGGTTTAATGGATGTCAGTTATCAGTTATCTCCTGTTAATTTCCCTCTGAAAGTTCTGCACTGCCTTAACCGGGTATTGAACTCATACTTTTTGGGTCCTGTCACTGGATCTAACAAACGCCTTTATCCACTGTGTCATGTGTCAGGAAATAGGAAAGGGTTCAGTTCGACATTCCAACCACCTGAAGAAGGCCGGAGCGTACACAGGCCGAAACTTTGTAATACATATGGCGACAAAGATGAGGACAATAGTCCGAATAATGTAAATAATGTACATAATACCTCATCTCAGAAATATAGACAGATATTAAAATCTTTTATTTCATTCTTTGATTGGATGTCCTCTCGATATGGATGCTTATGACCGTAGAATTCTCTGCACACTTCTGTTCTGCACGTTACATCATCGTTTAGGTTTTATATAATAAAAGAACAATTATGGGTTCGATTCGATTAATTCTTCAAAGAAGTTTAATATGTCCAGAATATTTTGAAACCATTGATGAATGAAGAAACCAAAAGGTTAATGGTCTGTATGTAGCAGATCTGGAAAATGTGGCTTATCTGGAGAATGTGGCTTATCTGGAGAAAAAGCCATAAATTCTGAAGAGGCGTGGATAAGTATTATCTAGTAAAATCATCAGCCAACACAGAAAAATGTCTATTTTCTAATGCGTAGTTCAAAAAAGTCAATTGCTCATTGTAACATTTTACAATAGAAGTTTATTCAGATGTCAGCGGTTTATAATAAAACATTCTCTTGGAATTGCAAATAAAGATAAAGTTTTTTCAGTGGATCCTGTTTAGTTTGTGATGCAGGAGTCTATCTTCGAAAAAGTCGAGATTATTTTTTGTTTTCTTGTAATAAATTCAGTTTTCATTGTCCAGTGATTATGCTGTCGACGATGGTTTGTCAAACAAAACGAAAATGGCAAATATTTAAATGATGCCTGATTCTCACCCCTCTCAGTTTATTTAGAAGCCATTCCCGCCGTGTTACAACTTTCTCTATAGGCTTGTAAATGATGTACTGTAGTTGACTAATTTTACAAGCACGAAATGGACTAGCAATGTCTAATTCAAATATTGTTAACCTATTGTGAAAAACAAGATTCAGGAAACTTCTGTATCAAACTAATGTGCCAACTTTGAAAAATTAAACTTCAAGACTAAAATAACTGCGGAATAGTTTTGTTAGGTTTGATATTTCTGTATTATATGAAGTGAAGTGTTCGAAGTATTTCTGAGTTTGAGGTATGATCAATATTTAGTATTTGCTTATCGATACTTATTATATTTGCTAATCAATATTTATTATATTTAGTCCTAATATTTTGTGGCGAAGGCGCACCAATACAGACGCATGCGGACCTTATTGGTCAACATCAGTTACATCCGGGTTTAGATGTCCAGATACGGGCCTCTCCGCAACTAATCAAGATCCGGGTCTTTGTAAGATGACTCATGACAATAAAAGCTGTGGGAGAAATAGCAGTCGGCAAAATACGCAGTCTTGAGATGTCATTTCCCTGGGCATTTTGTTCGTCAAGTTTCTGTGGTTTCCGAGACAGTGTTATTTTTTGTTACCTTCCGTCTCTTTTGTCCTCTCTCCCTATTATCCCCGTACTTCTTGGTGTCCCCCCCCCTCACTGACCAATCTCAACAGACTCTTTGCTTACATTACAACATATTTAACCAAATTTTAAGATACATGAGACACAATATATTTCTTGAAAGTTTTCACACTTCGATGTAAAATTCTGTAAGAATAAAAAGTAAACATTTTGTTGGACGTTACTTTATCTTGACAGAGTTTATAAGACTTTAAAATTTTTTCCATGAGAGTTACCTGAAATGTATTTTTATATGCGATAAAATATAGGAGTTTTAATTACATCAGTTAATTGATAAGCTTAAAATGTGTTATGAAACTATATACAGGTAATGTAATAAATTAATGATTTCTGGGCTAAAAAAATCAGAGTCTACCTGAAAATGCAATCGACGTAGACATTTGTATATGCGACAATCTGAATATTTATCAAAACTACAGTAGATATTCTTACTGACAACTAATGCAGATTTTCTGGTGGAATTGTATTCTTTGTATATTTATGGTATTGATAATAATAATATTAAATATTGTTTACCTTTGTTTCTGTATCAACAGAAGCTCCTTTCTGGATTAAAGACTTCACCATTGAGGCGTTTCCATTTATAGACGCAATATGCAGCGCCACGGCGCCCGACTGAAATAGAAAATTGAATGAAATAGGGAGAAAAAATGTGACTGTGTGAGAAACATTATTAGTTACGCAATATATATAAATATATATATATATATATATATATATATATATATATATATATATATATATATATATATATATATGTGTGTGTGTGTGTGTTCTTAGTGGAAAGCGCTCAATATCAGTAATAGAGCTAATATAATAATTTGTAAGCTGGGTTTCACGACATGGCGATCACTGTTTGATGATCTCAAAAACGTGAAACCCAGGGTCACAAACTCATATCCATACAATGATATATATATATATATATATATATATATATATATATATATATATGCTGGTTCTGACAAGGTTTACAGTGGATGGAGCAGCATGTTTTTGTCGTTACAACCAAATAGTTGTTATAGGAAATGGTTTATAAAAGAAAAAAATATTATTAAATTCTACACGCACGCATGCACACACACACACACACACACACATATATATATATATATATATATATATATATATATATATATATATATATGTAAAGAGTAATACAAGCTGTCATTAGATCATCATATAATCTGATTATCGCTTAAGTCGTGAAAGCGACCGTTACTGTGCAGTGTTGATTTCTAAGTGCATACTGTTTATAGCTAAAAAAGCTTCGATATTATGCAGTCTCATCAAATAAATATAGCAATTTTAGAAGAATTTAATTATATATATATATATATATATATATTAAATAATATTTATATAAATAAATATAGTATAAATATAAAATTATATATATAGTAAATTGTAGCCATTTTATATTTTTCATTTCGCGCATGCGCGTTGTTTGTTTTTGATTATGTTGACTGAACAGTATAGTATTGTCAGTTTGACACCGTCTGTGAGTAAAAAAAAGAGCACCCTCACGCAAATTAACTCCGCCAGAAACTTTGGGAACGGGATGCAAATGCCAGGTAGTAACCTGGCATTTGCACCGGAAGCTCCAATACGAATACTTCAGAGCATTTGGGTGTCAATCTCAGGACAATGCAGAGGATTTAGAAAGTCTAATAATGATTACGAACGAATAAAAATGGTAAAAAGTTAGCATAACTGTTCTTTGTATATTTTTATCTTATCTATTTCATTGACATGTAAAGTTTTGGGCGAAATAAAGACATTTTCAGTGGCTTCTGAAAGTAGCAGAATGAAAGAAGTTATTTTTTCTTTTAATACTTACGGCATTCCTGAGATCGAAATTATTTTAAAATGTTAAATCGCGACCTTGATTTCTTCAAATATCTCCCTCCTTAAAATAAATACTTCTTTTCCAAGCCATATATATATATATATATATATATACATATTTTGTTTTAATTAAAAGAAAAGTTAACTCAAGACCTTCTATTATTTAAAAATAAATACACAAACACGTTATCAAATTAAAATAAAATAATAAATGGCAATTACATTAAAAAATAAATAAATATATATAAACAAATAAGAAAATAAAAATTCAACAACAGTAAAAAAAAGCCTTTACCTTTACTAACTTTCATTTACTAGGTTTTCAATTACATCATTTAGCCTCCTCCATAGTTTGTCTTTATGTAGACAGCGGTAAGAATATTTTAGAAAGTTCACAAATTTAAAAATTTTGAAAAATTAACGATATTTTTTTTTTTTTTTTAACTTCTGTTTATAAATACATGTTACAAAATAAAATCTTCATATTTAATTTGATACAGTCCATCATTACACCGAAAATCGCTCCACAGTTGCAGTCATGTTTCGATGCGTATCAATGCAGCTCATCAGCCGATTGTAAATTATTGGAGTGTGGACGATCTATTTAGATTCAAAAGCAAAATACAACGTCTTTTTACGAAAAAAGAAAAAAAGTGGGGTTGTGATAAGGTTTGTGGACTTTTCTCTTATCAACCAATCAAATATGACCTATGTTAAACTAAGCGAAGAAACAAAAATTTAAAAAATATAAACGGGTCATGACCCGTAGATTGACAACTAACGACAGCCAGACATCTTACCTGGATATATATATATATATATATATATATATATATATATATATATATATATATATATATATATATATATACATACCGCATGTAACAGCAAAATGTAAAAATCGTGTAACAGCATATTTATCCACACCACAAAATGTTTAATATCTAAAAAACCACTAAACTAATTGACTTTCTTTTTTCCAGGTTTCAGATAACACGTTTAACCATCTTGACACCATTTGTCATATGAATCACTAAAAGCCTTTGAATTATTCAGATAGAAGAAAGGGAACAGGTTAAAAATGGTTTTATGTCAGCCACACTGTCTTTCCAGCTGAGCAATAGTGAGACGAAAAAGATTATTCAGGCTTTCAAGAATGCTGCCAACATTCATACTCTGGTTTGCATCTTCAAAGTTCATTCAAAAGGAGAACGGTGAATAAGTTTAAAGAGAGGGAACAGTAAGGAGGAAAACTGGATCAGGAGGTCAAACAACAAGAGGGATCATCATTTCAACTTAGTTCTAAATACACTCTTATTGTTCAAAGTAGAGTCCAATAGTGTTATAAAAACCTCGGAGAATTCCAATAAGATATCTTTAATCATTCAAGCTTAATCTAACAATGAGACAATTTTGCTGTTACACGATTTGAACGATTTTGCGGTTACTCCCGGTAAGTATGCATGTTTGCATATATATATATATATATATATATATATATATATATATATATATATATATATATATATATATATATTTGTGTATTTAGGCAGCATATTTTCATTTATACACGTTTCATTAAATAATATAGACAAGTGTTGTCTATTTTACATAAAATAAATAGACAACACTTGTCTATATTATTTAATGAAACGTGTATATATATATATATTGTCTTAATTTTCAAGTCTCAAAAACATGTTATATGTATAATGTAATTTAAAGTCATAACAAACCAAATTCGAAAGTCTAGCAATTTCCACCTCGTAAAACGTCCATCTCTTTGAATGGTTGTTTCCCTTGGATTTGTTTGTGGAGTATCACCAGATTTTAACAACATAGAGTTTAGTGAAATCGATAAATGTGTTCTTTCCAAAAACGCTTCACTGCCATTCAATGAAGCAAAGATATTTCTCTAATGAACACTTATTGAGAATCGGACACACGTCTTCGAGTTTACAAGTTTACTATGTCGTCTCTCTACATTAAGTGTGGGCGTTTTTAGATCATCAGTAGAAGGTAGTCATTTGTTATGTAAAAGTGAATATTGCTTCCAAAGACATGTGAAGCGTCTTTAAATCTAACGTTTAGTTTTTTCAATGATTGCTTACAAAGTTCTAAGATCGAATAAGTAGAAAGAAACACTTTTTACCTTATTTGCCATATTCAACGGAACACCTCTCTTCAGAAAAAGCATGGCTGTACTGGCTTGGGAACTGGTGGCTGCAAGATGCATCAGGGTACTGCCGTCTTTGGCGCGTGCCATAATGTTTGCTTTGAACTTATCTATTAGGAAGTCCATGATGTCTGTGTTGCCACACTCCAAGGCAATGTGGAGGGGAGTTTTGTCCAACTGCAAATATCGACAATGTTTCTCATGACTTTGAGGAAAAAAAGTTCAATCGAAGAAGTTTTTTTATATGTAAAAGCATCAATGAACAGTGGAAACGGATTCACTTAAGCAGAATGGAATGCAAGTAAAAGGTCGGCAAATAATAGAAATAAACAAAGAAAATATTGGAAAATAATATCGATCTCAGAAGCTGAGTGAAAGAAATAAATACTTGTGTAATTTTTTTTTTTGTGAGATCTTCTTGTCCCTTCCTAAAATGGTAATAAAAAGAAGGAATATGGTTCGGAAAATGAGAAAATTCAATTTTAAAAGATGTCGTCAATATGTGGAAAGGAAAAAAAGGAGAAAGTGACTTTGTCCAGATTGCTAGAAAAGGAATTTAGGGACTATACAAATCAATGTCATTAAAAACAAAACAAAACAATAATTTTGATAGCCAAAAATTGCCATCGACCCAACAGGAGAAGGAATTAGAGAATTAAGACAAAATATAAGAGAAAGACCAAAAGGGTTAATGAGAGATAGAGAACTATTTTATGAAAAGGAATTAAAGAACTGACATGAGCATGATTGCGAAGAGCCCTGCTGAAGGCAAAAACTGAATCATGATTAAGTGCCACCCCAACAAATGCCACATTTGTCTACGAAGGAGTGTTGAAAGATTTTCGCCTTGACCCACTTTTTAAAATCAGTATTCTGCTGTTTGGCAATAAAAATGCCGATTTTGATGAATCGTTCGGATAGATAAATTTTCAGTACACTCACGTAAAAGCCAAAAGTTAGACGCAGAAACTGTTAAAAACAGAATAGACGGTGATAGAGATCTTAAACGAATGCAATGAATAAAGAAAAGTAATCCACCGGAAACTGTGCAAACGATTTAGGCGTACAAATCAAGCGTAAAGACGTCAACTAGAATCAGTCTGAATTACATTTAAGCAGATTGCCCATACTAGGCCAGAAGACAAGATCTAGTTATCATAGATAAGAGAAAATCGAAAGTAGATTTTGTTGTTCTAGATGACAAAAAAAAGAAAGAAAATGAAAACATTGAAAAAAAAAATCATGGCAAATAAATAATTAGTCATGTCCATTGTTGTTGGATTTTTGCAAAGAGTATTTCAAAGTATAGATGATCCCGAAATCCAAAGCAAAATCGAAAAATTTCGAACATCCCTATAAGAAACAACTAGAATACTACGGAAGGTGCTGATTTAGTGAGGAAACTTGCTGTTATTTAATATTATGCGATAACTACCAAGCATCTGCCGTGAGCTTACAGTTCCTTTTTTCTCTTTTTTTATCATTTCACCCGAAGAAAGGCGATAAATCCACTAAGACAAGGGAGGTTACTGAGATGAAGAGTGTGTGTGAAAAAGAACATTATTAAGGAGTGAGGACAATAAAAGAACAGTAATTAAGAAGACAGGAGATGACGATTGACACGGTATCTGAATTCTTGAAGATCAAAATTTACTGGAAAGCAAGAAGACGGAAGAAATTTCCACAGGTGAGAAGTGTAAGAATAAACTGTTAGAACTTACTCTTACATCTAGATATTTAAAATACAAAAATAGTGTTTAAATTCGTAACACTGATGTAGCAAAGAGGAAAGCAATATTTATTTTGAATAATACAAAAATGCGGTGCAAAGCCAAAAGTGGGGTTAGGGCATTGCTGGTCATTAATCTGTCATACCTTAATCTCAGCTAACCACAATTACTGACCTAAATATATCACTGCATCCTTTACACCAAAACAACACATTCTTACTTATCAGTCTTACTAAACAGACCAAGTCTCCATGTAGTCCTAACTAGTTTCCATAAACAATGTGTCTGTGTGTGTTGGTGGAGGGGGTTTTTTTAAAAATAATAACATTTAAAAAAGAAACCCCAATGAATATTTAGCAAAGAGGAAGTCTCATCAGAACAATTATCATGAAAATATAGAAAAAGCACAGGGAAATAACGTTGGGGCAGTGGGGAAGTGACTGAAGCTGAGATGCCAGGTAAGGATCGATAACATTGCAGATTCTTTAGGTTTTATCAAGAATCTCTAGATATATAGCGAAAGCACTAGACCAGATATGGCAGGAATGTTCAATGCATGAACGAATGAAGTATTATAAATATCTAAGAGTTTCTAGCAAGAAAAATTGTCTATTATGACACAGTGAACCAACTTTCCTCGCAGTATATCTTCATGTTCCACTTCATGTCAATGGAAAACGTAAATTTGAGAAGATGCAATGAGTCACTCTCCTGGGAGGTTAGCATCAGCCATACTGATAGAAGACAAAAACGCTTCTCTAAGATTAAAAGATAGTACTTTCGTTTTGAAGGCGTTACGCTTAACAAGCGATTTCGCGCACCAGTTAAAAACTAACTGAAGGTCAGTTTTTTTTAGATCAGCTGTCAATTTGACCTTATTGAACCAATCATACTTAGCATTAAGACAGGTGTAAATAGTTGTGTTATCAGTGGATCCAGTTTAGATAGGATAGTAGAAACCATAGACGGAACTATATGCATGCCACTCAATAGAGACTCAGTTCTAAATAGAGTGAAGCGAGCAGGGATAGAAAATTTACCCTTATTTAACACACACTATTACAGTGCCGCCAATAGTTTTAGGAGGACTAAAACTTGTAAGAAACTTTATGGTGCCTCGTTCTGTCAGTGAACAAAGAATTAGCGTCATTGAGGAAACTTTATAATTATTATGAGTTGACAGAAAAACGTGTCTGTTATGATCACAACTGTCATAATGGTAGTGATTCCATTGTGCGATAACAGCTGAAGAGGCAGGTGTGAATGAAAGAGAAGATTGTGGTTTCACCTGGCATTTCCGAAGTCGCACAAAAGTATTGATGCTAGCTTTTACTCAAGAAGAAACCTCTGTGGCACAATTTTAAATAGGAAGGTTAAAGGAAGGTGTGTCTTTTTGTCAGTCGACAGCATATCACTAAGAACACACCGCTGCCCTCGGCTCGGACGAGACGACCCGCTAAATTTAAGCATATCGCTAAGCGGAGGAAAAGATACCAACCAGGATTACCTTAGTAACGGCGAGTGAATCTGGAAAATGCCAATGACGAATCACATCGTAAGTAAACGGCTTCGGGACGTGTGAAGCATAGGTCGAAATGTAATGAATCCCAATCGGCATGCTGCTAACTAAAAGAGCATGATCCCAATTGACAGGGGGACAAAGTTGTGATGCTCAACAAGAGCCAGGAGAGGAGGTAAGGAACAAAACAAGTAAAGAAGAATGTTGATCAGAATTATTAGGGAAACGAGTAGGAAAATCTATTTGAAAGAGCGTGAGCAACGAAAAAGTGATAAATGAATACCAGCAACATCAGTAACATTAGAATGATTAAGCCACTTGACATGATGAGCATTAAAATCACCAAACACAAAGATTTTCACAGATAAATGTAGAGAGAAAGAGAGAGAGAGAAAGAGAGAGAGAGAGAGAGAGAGGGGGGGGGCATTTCAATACTGTCAGATATTTTGCCTTGTATGTTACGGTCCTGTGAAGAATGGGAGCGATAAAGGAAAAGAAATAGCTAACAGATTGCAAGAAAGAAAGAAAGAAAGTTGAAAGCCCATGAAAGAATCATCTGGAGAGTCAAGAAAAAATTCCCTTGCCACAGGTAGATATCCCGGATATAAACACCAAAGCCAACTAAGATAGCCTGGAACAGACAGCGTTAAGTTATCTGGAGAACGTTTCAAGGGAAAAGATTATATACTAAATAAATTGGTACCAGGAATATTGGCTGAATAAAGGTGGGTAGGTGAGCTTTTGATTACTGATTAACTCATTTCTTTAATTTTTAACTGTCACGAGATTATTTTAATTTTTCAGGAGAAGAGGACCAAAATAATTATCAATTTCCGTCGTTTATGACAGTACAAACCGACCGAAAGGTGGCTAAAACTAAAATATAATGCGGCCTCAGATTTGCCCACTGGAAATACACATAGGGACTCTTATTCATGCGCGACATGGCACTGCAGTTACTTCGATATTATGCGACTGTTGACGAGAACAATCTCTTTAGGAGTCACCAAATAGTTGCTACCAGTCGGGGTGCAGCAACCAACCAAAGTGCCAATCTGGTACCATCAAAATGAAAAGTCGCAACCACTGATCGGTCAAATCACCAAAAAGTTAAAACAAATAAACCATTAAGGTCATGGAAGAAAGGAACCATTAAATCACAGCCCAAACAGGAGACAAGGGATAAACCTCTTCTTCTGTTCAATAAACGTGGAAGGATTACAGACCTGGCGAACCTATCAACTCCTATTAATCTGTTCCCAGAACAGGAATCTGGGTGCTTTTATCGAGGCATCATCCCTAGTTTGCCAAGCCGACCCCTTCTAGGTAAAGGGAGAATTACTAAATTACTAAAATCTCTGTGAAATTGAATTTTAAAGAATTTTTTAAATATAACATAAAATTTTTTAAAGAATTTAACATAAAAGTAGATTACTTTAATTTCACCTACAATATTCAAGTTAGAATTAATTAAAGTTTAAAGCTTTAAATTTGTTAAAGTCAAAGAAACAAATAAAAAGAAAATTCCACACTTTATAAGGATTGCAATAATTTATAGTATCACTAAAAAATAAATTTCGGGAAAAGACATCATATCTTAAGGCATTTCAAATTGAAATCTGATTTTGGCAAAGTTGACGTGACATAATATACAATATTAATCTATAGCAGTTTATATCTTTTATTTGTCTAGATTTAATATTTAATCTTTGTCATCTTTTTCTTAAACATTTGAGCTTTTGGGTTTCGGAGAAGGAATTCTTCATTTTCATTTTCCATGTTCCATCGAGCTTTTTCAGCGACCAATTTAAGTCAAGATGACACCGGAAAATGTGAAATTTCGGTTGATGCATTTCATGGAGTCATTCTTCAAGAATGGCACCAACCAATGCCAACCCGAACTCTAAACGTTGTTTTACTGTTTTACACTTCGACTTCTTTTCTCCTACAATCGTAATCAGGGCACAACAACAACAATAAGAATAATAAAAACCCTTTTAATCTAGTCGCATGGTTTGTGTTCTGTTGAAAGTTAAGTCCATTAGCTGTCACTTAACTACCTGTGTTCAGAACGATTAATGGTGCAAAGTATATTTGATTGTGAGGTATTGTAAATCGAAGTACTTATCAGTTCAGTCATTTGAAACGTAAGCGTGTGGTAATGCATCACTAATATAAAATAAAGTTACAGAAAAAAAAAGGCCAACCAGTCAAGTTATTCATACTAAAACGATCCATAATTATGAAATACCGTCGTCAAGAAGAGGACGGATTGGTTAAATTCATTTAGTAATCGTGTTTCGGCCTTTTAGTAACTATTTTTCTATTTATAAAATCTCACCTAATACATGTTTGAAAAATTAGATTTTTTTCAAGGAAGCTTAATTAATTTTTAGGCATTTTTGAAAGACTTCTATTAAAAAGACATAGAATATAATAATAAAATGATTATTATTATTATATACGTTATTTATATTTTAACTTTGTTGTTATTGCCACAACGTTTGGGCCATTGTGCCCTATCTTTACTTGGATCAACAGACACTTCACGTGTCGATAGACACATGAAGAAGGCCGGATGGCTCAGTGACCGAAACGTGTTAATAACAAATATGATAATATTAGTCCGAATGTAAATAATAATAATGCTTCATCGTTGAAATTTAAACTAAAATTTATTATTTGAAGATGGAATTAAGAAATTGACTGAAAAATGCTAGAGTAAAACAGTAAATATGTTTCATGTCTTCTTTTGTGTTTAGTCTCTTTTAAGGACGTACGTGATCATGGTTCTTCACAGCTTCTAATCTTGTATATCTCTAAGCAAGGTTTCACTTCTTACTGGCCCTCCCAGTAATTACTATGTCAACATTCGCACAAATACATTGCTTAATCAAATTAAATACAAAAGGCATTGTTTTTACTTTTATTTAAAAATCCGAACGAAATTTATGTTCAACTGGAAGTTATTTATTGGAAAGGTTTCATAACTTATATTTGTCTACTGACCTTATCTCCAATATTTGGGTCTGCTCGAAGATTCAGCAAGCATTTCATCATTGTTTCACATCCAATGTGCGCAGCCAAGTGAAGGACTGTTTGTAAATCATTCTACAAGAAAGAAATGAAAGCAAATTCATCAGATATGATGTGAAGTGTTCAACAGATTCGTATGAATCAGTGGAGAAAATTAAGCCGCAATTGATTCTATTATGTAATCAACACATTTTTAAATCAAAAGACACAACCACGTGTAAGTTACTCTCGTCCAACGCACACATACACATATAGATTATATACGCACATGTAAAGTTACACGCAGTGTGTAACGGACAGACAATCGGCTCTTCTTTTACGATATAGATTTACACCTTTGTGCAAATTAATTGAATCAACCGCCTTAGTATCCTTTCTTCCACCATTCGGCCAGTTTTAGACCCACTGGAGTGACAAGGTGTAATCGATTTCTATTTTTTCTCAGATTAGGTCATTTGCAGTGGTGTGCCGTAATATAAATCTATTTTCGGGGTATATGATGGAATTTGTTTGGTCTTGAAAAATATTGCGTCATCCTTGATCGCATCAGATTTCCACACGCCCAGACACTATTGTTTCGACTGTTGATTAGTTGTCCTACGGCTATTGTCTGGTATGGATGTTACTCCAAGGAAGCCTACGAAATTTGTAACGCTGCACGCACACACTGGCAAACCTTACCAGAGCAAATCAAAGTACTATAGATTGGACCGGAAACTCTCCTGATTTAAATTCAATCGAGAATCTGTGATCAATCTGTAAGGAACGACTTCGTGGAATGGACATACAAAGTACTAACATGTGCACTGCGTCATGTTTCATTGGAAAAATACGGAAGAAAACGTAAATAATAATGGAATTATTCGTTTTGTTTCCATTAATTTGGACAAGGGTGTACATACATTGACTATGTTGATTGGAGTTCCAGCTTCAACTAACAACTTGAGAAAATCCGTGTTTTTCTTTCGGCAGGCAATATGGAGTGCTGTATCACCATTTGATTGCTGTGAATAATAAATTGAAATAACATTTTAAAACTCAAATTCTGAATTGACATTATATGCGGAAGACGATCAAATAAGCGCGTGCGCGCACACACGGACACACAATACATATTGTCGGGAATAGTGTGGAAATTTATGAATGTAATAAAAGAAATGTGGAATGGGTGGGTGTTGTATTTGAGAACAAATGCCAATCTATGTAGATGAAATGAAAAGTTAATAGTCTGAGAGTGACGAGATATATTTAGACGAGGCGAAATATGTGTTTGATATTATACCGGACTGTCACGCAGAAGGAAGTTTCTCTGCTTTAGATTTGGTCGGTGAGGAAATACCTTTCGCAATGGAAGAGGTCAAAATTAACAAGCTACAAATATGTGAAAAACTGGCTTTTCCCCTCTCGGTTGAGACGCTTATATAACTTGCTGTCATTCGGTTGCCCCAGATGAGCACATTCTGAGATCAGCTGAGTCCACCACCTGTTTACATCTGGGAGGCAGCTACTGAGATCCCATGAGGCACAATTCTACACATGGTGGTTATAAGGTTATCTTTCAGGTCAGCCCTCTAATGGTCTGGTTTGACACCGAGTACAAAGCCTACTTTGGTATCTCTTAGGGTGAGCTGGCCACAAATTGTTCCTTTTTGAAAGGAAATATAATACTTTTTTATGCATTCTTTTTATTTAGATGGTTGCCGAAATCAAAAGGCAAGTGTTGTGATTTCAATACTCATTACCGTGGTCTAGTGTCAGACTGAGTTTAGTAAATTAGTTTGCTTTGTGGCTAAGGTAGTTGCATATTGTACATCACTTTCAATCAGTTTGAACAGAAGCCACTCAGAGTTTCGTCGGAGAGCCGAGTTCAAATTCCAGTCGAATCCATTACATTCACTTCCATGCTAATACCCTTGGGAAAGTTATGAATCCTTTTCTTCTCCCCACCAGCTATGGGTAAATAGTAGGACAGACCGGGTTCTATAGCCTTGGATGGCAACCAGTCTACCGCAGAAAGAAATGGCAACCTACAAGGGGAGTAAAAATATGCCTCGTCAGTCATGTATCGAAAGATGCATGATCGCCTAAGCGTGGATCATGCATGGCACATAACTGAACTGAATCTTCAAACTTGACAGATTTTTTCTTGTTGAAAGATTCGTGCATGGATTCTCCCTACCATCACGTGGTCTAATGCAGGACTCATCGAAACGCCAATATATTAACACATCCAGATACTATATTTACGCAGATAGAGGGGAGAGAGAAAAAAAAAGGTGAAAAATTTATTAGGTTTTTAATTGGAAATGAAAATTAGTGCACTGTCTAGGAAGTGGTAAAGCTACATGGTAAAGCTCAAATAAACAGGTAAGTTAAACTAATATTGAAAATGTTAGCGACATCAGATAGTTGTAACATTTTAAGAGATAGTTAATTAAACTTCACATTACTTTGATGTGGTGCATTGTTGACAACTTTTTCAATGTTTGATTAATTTTAGGGAATGGATTATAAAATATACCTTGGTTTTTAAAGACAGCTGACCTTTCCATCCGGGATTTAAAAGTTCTTTCAGGTTATTGCTATTTCCAGCCATGACCGACAACATCAGTGGTGCATATCCATCCTGAAGATATCAAGATACATGTTATTTGAGACAGTTTCCCTATCTGAATAAAAGTTCTGTAACTTATAAATTCAAATGTCATTGTGCAGCTGAATATACAGGACGAAAGTGTCTAAGTTTGGAAACTTTGTTGGGTCATCACGTACCTGCATTTATTAGACTTAATCATCATTCCACAATCTGGGCTTTTGTCTGCGATTGGACAACACCTTTTGGAGAATGAGCTATGCTCTTTCAAATTGTTTATCAACTCATTCGGTTTTACATAAGGCTCGTTTACAAACACCATTTGCAAGTGTTGGAAGCTGTATTAAATTACAGAAACCTTCTTTATGGAAGTAGACGAAGTATTTTCTTCGGTCACTTCATTTATTTGGAGTATCGTGAGGATAAATTACTTTCATATTTTTCACTCACGCTGGAGTATTTAAAACTTTTTGAATTTATGAATATTTTAATCGTTAACTTCCATGTTTTAGACGTACTCCAATTCTTCCTCAATATTACTTATCTATTCATACCAATTTTGACACAATAATTTTGCCAACATGGGTCTCTGAAGAATTGTTTGCCGAAAGGTGCCTTGGTTTAAAAAAATGAACATTAAACAATGTTTGTTTAAAATAATCTATGCATTCTGTAGTATTAATTGTTATATACATACATACATACATATATATATATATATATATATATATATATATATATATATATATATATATATACACATACGTAGAAATATTTTAGAGAGTTGCAGTTCTTCTAGCGTAATGGAGAATGATTTGAATGATCAAGTTAATATGTGAGAGAAAATGTCGGTGAGAATGGTTGTCTGAAGTGCGATGAATAGTGAATCAACGGCGCTGTTGAAATTTGCTAGTGTATCAGATGTATAGCACGTTCTCAAAAAATAAGCCGATAGTGCGTTTTGCATCGAAATAACCAGCAACAAGTTCAAGTATGGAGCTGGTAGAAAATTTGTGATTGTTTTCCAATGGCACCCACAATCACAATGTTGAATTAATATTTTGATTGACATACTTGTAGAACGAATTGGCAACAGTAAGGATATTAAAAATCAAATACATTAAAAATTAAATAGGTTAAAAATCAAAGACATATCCCAAAAGTTTAAGACGAAATTCAGCTGTAACACCCGACAGATATCCTTAATAATTTACCTTATTAAAATAGAGAGTTCCTTCTGGACCCATTGCCTTCAGAAGTGCTGCGATTATTCCACTATGTCCCGCTTTCATACAAGCCCAGTGAATTGGCATATTTTCGTTCTTGAAAGAAAAAAATTGAAATATAATAAATAACAATAATAATGATTATTGATTAACATTACGCTGTTATCTTGATTCTCAGTTGTTGAAATAGATTTTAAGAGTTGTTTTTTTTTTTTATAATTATCAAAATAGTAAACAATTGAGAAGAAAGAAAAATGTTTTGCATAAACTTTATAAGAAATAAGCCGATTTTATTCAAGCATTTTAAAGCAGTTATCATTTATATAACAAAAATATTAGAAAGTTGAGGTAGATAGTTGGAAACTTTCATTTTCTGTGTAAAAACAACAACAACAACAAAACAGAACAGCTGTTCAGCTTAAAAACCTTTGAAGATCAAATAGACGTACATTATCCCTGATAAGAACATTAGCTTTCTTGGATATAAGAAGCTTCACTATATCGTCCTTGGAAGATACAGACGCTAGAGCCAGAGAAGTGCGGCCGTCCTGAAAAAGAAAAGAAAAAAAAGGGAATGTGATGAAGTTTACTTTGGCCCGATTTAAAATGGAAAAACAATAAAAATCAAGCATGAACTTTTGCAATGATCCAATACTTTTAACTCGGTATTTTTTGTTTTACTTATGTCGTCTTTTGTGTTATCATCTTCCTGTCGAATGATTCTATCCGAGTCAGAACTAGTACTCATGCGCACACACATTAACAAATATATATATATATATATATATATATATATATATATATATATATATATATATATATATATATAAGATTATAATAAAAACATTTTGAAATCCCTGAACAAAAGATTTCATGTTTCAATACTATGATTGTATTTCTTCAGGCGATGGTAGGTAACTGAAAAATACAATGATAGTATTGAAACATGAAACCTTTTGTGCAGCGATTTCAAAATATTTTTTATTATAATCTCTTATAATAAAAATATAATAATGATATATTGCTCTACTTTGTATTGAGCTCTTTTTTTAAAAGTAAATGCTAAGAACAGTGGATTTTTACTCCATCTGTTCTTTCTCTATAACACTGTGGAAGGCTTTCTCACTACATTCTAAAAAAAAGACATTGATATAAGCCGTATTAGTTCAGTCTGACACAAGGTCGTAAATACAGTAAACCGAATGAGAATCGAAATTAGCGCTGTGGCAACGATTTGTTAGACTAGCCGGTTAATCGGTGTCCCGTAAGATCGAGTGAAGCACTTAATGAGGATCGAATATATTACAACAATAATAGTTTGCGAGATTAGCGTGTTCACCACTGTTCCACGACGAGGTTTCGATTACAAAACATTTAAAAGTAACATTACTTTTTTACAAACAAGAATGCTTCATGATAACTCACTAGAATTGCGTTAGTTTTATTGATTGACTTTTTAAAAATCTCTTTTCTACGAACAGAGACGAAGTTCAGCTTACACCATCTTTACGTTTTAAAGCTCAATCAATGCAAAACCTGCGCGCTTTGCCAACAGAAAATGATAATATTTAAGAAACTTAATACGACAGGAATTTCGTCGTTTTTAATAGACAATAAGTTGAGTTATTAAAAGTACAATGATAAACAGTGAATTATTTTTAATTTTGTTTTTTGCGTAAGAAAAGAAACAGAGTCCAGTTATAAATTGTGAAGGGACACTAAAATTTTAAAAAATTACTTAAGCTCTTAAGAATACATTGATTACTAATCCCAAAATGAAAAGAGTCATTTTCAGTCAACGGTTCTTGAATGTTCCTTGTGGTTAGACATTAATCAATACAGATCAAAAGATATCTCAGTCAAAGTTCAAACGGATATCCCTTTTTAACTTGTTAAAAGCCGGAAGTGACGACAAAGTTCGCGTCTGTATTCGGTATCAAACGTCAATTATTACCATATAGTGCATCATCGATCTTTGATTGATTGTGAAAGGCATTGGTAGTGGACTGAAATACGAAACACATGAAAAATCTGCTCTCAGCCCAGCGTACATTGCTACATTACTTGGTTAGTTGATTTTTAATCCAACTTTTTCCAGTTCTCCTTCGTTACTTTTTTTTCTTTTCATTCGTTTTCTTTATTATTTTTTTTTAATTCGACTTCGTTTATTGCTCAAGAAAAGAACTCGATCAAATAAAGATTAACTCAATACACTCATATCTCCATGAGAAAAATCACTGACAAAATAAGTGGTTATCACAATGTCTTATATTGTAAACAAGGATCACATTCAAAGTTGATTTGCTGCTGATTCATTTTAATAGGGGCAGATTAGTATATTTACAAAGACACTTTACGATCATTATAAATCTACTTTACAAAGACTATAATCCCAGTAAAAATCAATCCAGCAGTATTAAAGAAAAAACCTTTTGAGGTCCATTGGTTGAAAAGTGAAACATTGGAGTAAACGTCGCACCAGTAAGAAGGATTGCAATAAAGGGAATGATTCTAATGAATGACACAAAGCATTAGAGATTAAAAGAAGAATTAAAAGTATTCAGGCCAAAGTAGTTTTAAATGAAAACACTGAGGACATTATAAATTTGACATGATTGTTCAATTTTTCACTTGATCCCCGTGAATAAGTTCTAAATAAATAAGATTTGACGAGGATATAACCATAACAACAACAATAATAATAGAATACATTCGGTTGCGCAATGGACATTTGAAAAGAGAAACGAAATGTTTATTAATAAAATCTCAGAAAAAATGTATTAGAACTAGGTATATAAAGGTAAAAGTAGACAAGACAAAGCCGAATAATAAATGTCACTTTTCTGCAGAAATGAAATCGTTAGTCATATAATAACGGAATGTATTCCATTGGCTAAGAATAAGGACGAAAGCAGACTTAACAGAGTGGGAAGAGGCGATCCTCTGGGAATTGTGCAAATAACTGGAATGTAGCCTTAAAAATCAATATATAGAAAGAGTTGTTCGAGAGGACAGCAGATGTAAAATTCTTTTCTACAAAGTGCAATTGAAAAACGAATAAATGCTGGAAAAGTATCTGGTGTTAAATGATAAGAAAATATAAATTGGCAGTTAAAATTAGCGATCAGTGGTTATAATTTTGCCACTTGATCTCTAGTGAAAAGCACCAATTACAAATGGTATGAAAAGTCAATATATAAAAATAACAAACGCAACAAGAATAAAATGAATATAATAGGATGAGGAGTAAAGTAGATCATTTCTGCCATTTTAATCATAACAACAACAATAATAATAATAATAATAATAATAATAATAATAATAATAGTAATAAATAGTAAATTAGAAAATCTTTGACCCGAGCAGCCCGTAAAACGTGTCAATAATAAAAATGTGTATGTAGCCCAAACAAAGTGATTGTCAAGAACAGCAGGCCTAAAATCTGAAGGCATTATTATTATTATTATTGCTGCTGCTGCTCAAGTGAATTCTGACCAATTGGTCACAACAAAGCAACATCATTCACCCAATGGTCAAATCTGTAATCCTTATAATCAAAGACAAATACTATGAAGATAAAACATCAACTATAAAAAATATAGAGAAATTTATTTACTGAAAAAAAAGTTTGAAGAAAGTAACTATACACAATTTTTCTTATCCTCTGCCAGCCACCAGTGATGGAGAAAGCCTTACCTCGAACCATCGCCAGTGAGACACGCTGCAAGAGTCACTCCGTTTCGCGAGGCTCGTCCCTTAATCGAGACGCCATCGCGCCAATCCTCCGAAAGAACGCCATCGAATGAGGGCCAATAACCCCAAAAGTTTCCACTGCCACAGGAGTAAAAAAAAAAATCTATCAGCAAGAGAAGAATATTTAACTATTTTTTTTTATTTCTGCGTCCCAGACGACGGACCCCGGCTCAACCGCGGACCTGATTAAATTACCGGCCAAAAATGTATCCGCACAGGTCACATCCAAATCAACGACTACCCCATTTTAAAAGGGAAAATGGTAATGCCATCCGTCCGCTTTCCATCACCACGGTCGGGGCCTACGGGTTCGATTTGGGAAGAGAACCCGGCTGCATCTAAACCTCTTCTGATGATATCGTTTATTGGTGCATGCCGTAGAAAGCGACCGGCACTACGACGACAGGAGAGAGGAGGCAAACCAAAATCATCGATGGAGTGCACTCAACATCTAGCACTGCATTGAGCCAGGTGCCACTACTCGGTTGTGAAGCAGATAGTAGACATCAACTGTAACAGAAAAGCATGGAGTTACTCCTTTTGAGGAGATGCCATTCCAAAGTGATAAAGCAATTAAAACCAAAAGACCCGATAAAGGAGTAAAAGACAAGAAGAGAAGAACTTTTCTACGCATTAACATTTGTCTTCTCCCACCGAAAGAAACGCCCTCCTCCCTGAAACTACAGAAAAACTCCCCAAATATAAAGAAACTTGAAATAGAAACTGAGAGAATGTGGAACATGAATACCACAATAGTAGCAATAGTTAAAGATGTACTCAGTCAAGAAAGGAAGAGATGTCTTACGTAGATAAGTATGCATTAAATAAACCATCACACCTACATTGTAGCCCCAATTTAAGAGATGGATCTGGTTCATTGGCTAAACATAGCAGGATATTAAGAAAAAAATTATTATTAATAATTATTATTTCGTCGAATCTTTCTATTTGTTTTACTTAGCCACGTCAAGGATAAAATTTTGACTTTCATTGAAATCGTCATATACGGAGATTCATCAATTATTGTGTCACCTAACAAACAAAACATTATTTTACACATCAAATATTAACTTACCAAGCTAATCTCTTTTCTTGTCAAAGCACTTAATCAAACATTTCTCCATAGATCACATAAATGCAAGATTGTACAATGAAAAGTTCAGATCAATACACAGTAAATAACTGTATTAGGCTACAAACTCATTGATCTATTCTCATTGATTAAAAATAAGCAACAACAATCATAACATTGATTTCTATATTCGAGGAAAGAAATTAGTTTTCGAATTATTCAAGTTCAGAATTTGATAAGAAAATGGCGAGAAAAATGTTTCTCGATTATTTTGCATATTCCTATTCTGACATTTGTCATAATAGTGACGATGATGATGATGATGATGAAGAGGAGTCAGGCGAGTGGGAGGAGAAAGAACAACGCTAACGACAATACTAAATATTGAATTTATCTATTGATTTTGAGATAGGGATATATTGAGAAAACAAGAGAATGTTGGCGTCACTTTAAACGCCCACATACAACTGACAATCTCCGATCCCAATATCGGAATTTTTGACAGAAAATACTCTTCATGGCGCATCCTCTAGAACGAAAGGCTGCAAGCTTTTTTTTTTTTTTGTTTAGTTTCACGCTCACATGGTGTCCGACTGCTGTGGATACGTACCAAGCAAAATGGACTAAACATGCGAATAGTCGATATCCCTATGAAAAACGTTTGAACTTGAGAAAAACATTAAAGACACGCGATTCATAATAACTAGATAAGTCGATTTTGTTAATTCTTATGAGTAATAGGTAATACTAATTTATAAACTTTCCTGTTTTATTGATTGGTCGTTAATTTCGACTCTTCTATAGGTA